CTAAAACGAATGCTAATTCTTCAAATCGACTGACACAAATCTTTTTATATGAATTGTATTTTTGTTTGCTTCTCGTACAGTTTGATCATTTATAATTGAGATTGTACAAATAAAATGAAAATTTGCACATTGAATTATTCAGTTTAATGGAATTTTTAATGTAGCAGCAACTGTATAAGTTATTATGGAATTACGACTTGATATCCATGCATGATTCATATGCTTTCTGCAAATACATTTGAGTAAGGTATTGAATAAACATTTGCGTGTAGTTACAGAATAGTCTCTCTTGACTTTCATAATTGTTTTTATCTTTAAAAACTAAATGTTCGTACAAACTAAAGCCTTGTTAAAAATTAATCGAAAACTCGATGTACTTTTTAGCATGAGATTGATAAATGAGAAAAATAACACTAGCTCGAATAAACATTTCATTGATTTCTTTTTTTTAACTAAAAAGTGATTTGGATTTATTCTCAAGAAAAAAAAAATCTGAATGAAGTACAATTGACCATCTTGCTTGAAAGATATAATTATATAATAATAGAAAATCTAATGTGATGTTAAAATATTTGAGAAATTTCATAGTACGATTGAGTGTAAAATTTCAACTGATTTTAAAAGATCTTTCATGTAATTTTTTTTGAATTGATTAAATTATACACTGAACATTTCTCTTTATTTTGAATATCTATAATTTTGACTCAACTCTATTGTGTAATTTTTGATAAGACAAAAGGTGTTGGTCACACTTAATCGGATAAATTCTTAATATTTATGCGATAACACATTTCCAACAAACTTTATATGTGTTAGTATGTGACGCTCTTTTCAGTTGTAATTCAACATTACACTATAAACATAGCTATTAAATCAGAAGGAGACAAATATTGATATGTCATTTTTCTCTAGATAACGAAAAAAAAAAATTTCACGAAAATATATAAGTAATGAATGATACGTATTTTTAGTTGATGTTATTTTATTCTTTTGATTATGAATGATAATATTTATGTACTATAGCATCGTTTTAACATACAGAATCTCAGATTTTATATTGAAAAATTTGCAATATATTGTATATATTTAAATTTGAATCAATTTGATTGTTTGTAAATTTTTTTTTGAGAACAAAAGAGAATTCTCGTGAAAATATATCAAAAAAAAAAAATAACAATTTAATATAAATCGCTCATCATTTATTTTATAACATGAATGTCAAATAAATATTTTGACAACTTAATAACTAGTTTCATTTGCAACATATTAATCAATAAAATATCATCTTTAATGACTCATCTCAATTATTTTCTAACTTTGATCCTACTAACTTGAATTTATACATATATATATGAAGTTTTGTTTTTTTCCGTATCACAACTATTCCTGTAAAATCAACAATCCATAACGATAATCTGATATACATATCAACACATATGCATTCTTATCCTCTTGATAGACAACATTCCAAAAAATGCATACATACAAAATATACATAATGGCATCACACTACACCTTAAGGCTATTTCATTTCAATGAAATTGATATTTGATATCAGAAAAGTGTAACAATAACAAAATGGTTAAAGATTTTATTTTTCTAACGTTATAACATATACATCATTTGATCTCAGCTGGAAGTATAATAGTTGATCGACATGTAAAAAAAAAAAAGGAAAGATAGATGAATATAGAACATATTTGTTTTTATTGTAAATGAGAGTAAAACTGTAAAAACACGACTGTCATACTTTTGTCTGCTTAAACACAGTAGGCATTCAATGTTTTTCATTGATCACCACGGGAAATGTAATTGATGACAACAGACAGACAGACAGACAGATATATATAGATAGACAGACATATATAAGAAAAGCATAATTTTCTATTGCCGATCGATTGATCGATTTATTGAAAAGAATACGTGTAGTTGTCTGTCAATCATAACAATCATCATGTTTAATCTTTTAATAACAAGGAAGCATTCTTTTCTTTCTTCTTTTTTTTTTTTTTGTTTTTTGAATAAAACCTTCTATTGAAGTCGTGCAAAATGTCGCTCGATTAGTTTTTATTGTCATTTGACTGAGTTCACTTTAATGATATTTAAAAAAAAAATTGAAACGTTCAATCATGTGTAACAAACATATAAAAATAAAATTGACAGAGAATGTCTTATTTCAATTTTGGATTTAAATACACGCGTCATTACTCATTGAACTCGTTTATAACATGCACATATGGACAACAAATGAAAGAGATGAGTCGAATTGGTTTTCTTTCCTTCTGTTTTTTAAATACTTGTATTCAGGTGCAACAAGAAATACATTCATTCAATCAATCAATTTCTTTTTTTTTTTAAATTTTAAATGACTAGTAGTTGATGATAGACCACAGGCTATATTAACAAATTCACTTAGAATAACATCAAACAAAAGCATTGAAAAAACAAGAAGTTTAATTCACACTGAGAATATGTTCTGTTATTGTCTATACATGTCCTTAAGTGAACTACTCGGAAGAGAGATGTGTTTTTCCTTTTTTTTCGATTTTAATTGCCTTGTTATTCTATAAGTATAGTCATTGAAAATCTACTTCCTTGATAAAGAAAACTATTCAATAGAATATAGCCTGTTGTCACTTGAATGAACAGCAGTAGACAAAATACTAATGAGCTGTTCACACCTGTATGACAGACGAAACGACAAAAAAATATCGTTTGATGATATATGTAGCTATATATACATATATATGAAATAGCTTAACTATTCCTTTCTAATCCTTTTCTTTTTACATTTATGTTTGTTGTCAAACAATCGATCAATATATATATGTATATCGATCAAATTGAAATAGACCAGAGATCATTTACAACCCAGTTTTTATTCTTCGAAGAAATAAAAAAAAAAAAAAACCAAAAGAACTGATAAATAACAGAGACATATTGTCAAATATTTAAAACATTTGAAAACGATGATGTTTTCTTATCAATGTTATAAAAAAGAAGAAAAAAAGAAGAAGAAAAAATGCACAAATAGCCTTGAGCTTTTTTTTCTATTATCAATTCTTTGCATGTTTATATAAATTCTTCGAGGTTTTTCAATCGTCGCCTGTTTATTCAACAGATGTGCTTCTAATTGTGATCGGGGCGTGTATATATATTAAACGAGAATAAGGAGGAGATTGAACAAAAAGGAAATAGCAAAAACAAGACATTGACAAACACGCACATGTATGTACACGCGTGCACGGAAATCGTTAATTTCAGACAACGATAAATCGCCCTAAAGCTTCATTCTACTTTATCTATACATATATGCATATTAGAAAAAAAAGGTCAATGGCATTTAATGTGTGTGTGCTAATAGACATTCAACAATTTTCTTAACGTAATCAATAGATAAAAAAAATTGAAAAAAAATTTTAATATAATTATATATGCTAGAAATATGATGGTCAGTATAGCATGAAATATGAGGAGATATATATTCTTTTGTGTAATATACATTAACATAAAACCTTGGAAAAGTAAATTAAAACATTGATGTATGCGTCAAAGGATTTCCGTTTATAATTCATGTTCTTTTCAAATGAAAAAAAAAAATTCTTTTATTATTATTATTATTACTATAAAAACACACACACATACATACATAGTGACTTGTTCAACAAAGCAAAAAAAAAAATGAATAAGTATTGCACCCAAGCAAAAAATAGATATAAATAAAATTCTTCTTTTTGTTTTGTTTTCATACTAGAATATGTGTCCTAGTTGGATGCATTTGATAATTATATACAGGTGGGATTTGTTGATATATATGATAGGAATCATTAGCCAATTGACTTGTATCAGTTGATGAATGTATTGAACATTCACTTGTATCACAACTGTGTTGTTGTTGTTGTTTCTGCTGTTGTGGATAACTTATTATATTTAATGGACGATAAAATATTGAAGAACGTGGTGGTGGATGATATAAAGTATTTGTTGGTAATTTTTCAATAGAATTTGATAATTTATCTTTTGATATATGACGTATACGCCAATAACAAACAATAATAAGCATAATAGAAACAAATATAGCTCCAAGAAATATTCCACTAAGTAGATAAATATATTGTAATGATTGATTATTTTCATATTTATCAGATGATAATATAAGTGATGAAGATTTTATTTGTTGTAATTGAATATTTCGACAATATTTATTTTGTCGAATATTAAGACAAATCATATAAATTGTTGAAGATTTATTTAAATAATTTTTTATATCAATTTCAATTGAACGTTGATTACCATCAATTAAACGTTGTAATAATATATGACGATTAATATCATCATAAATTTGTAAATGAATATATTTTGGTAATGTTGATAATATATATTCCCATGTTATAGTTAACATACCATTTGGATTATATGATATATCATTTATTATTAATTCATCAATTATAGTTGATGTACTTGTACTTTTAATAGTTGTTAATTGTGTACTTGTTGATCTATATAAGTCAAAAAAAAAAAGAGAAAATGAAATAGCCTTCAAAATTAATTCTAATGGGAATAAAATGTGACATGCAATCAAAGTAAATGAGAAAATTTATATTCCGTGATAAGAAATAAATCATAATCGAATTATTTTGAATATGTTGAAAGAAATAAAAAAATCTTTTAATTTTAAATAATATTGAATTTTGTATATATATATAATGTATTTTTTCAGAATTCGTACTGTTCTATTGATAGTACACAAACTTACTTAATAGTAGATGAATTTTGACTACTAGATTGACATTGTGAATAATCATTTTCTAAACAAATCATATCTTGTTCATCAATAATTGTTAATTGTTTTCCAATAAGTTTCATAGGTGTTGAACATGTCCATTGAAGAAATTTAATTAAATCATAATCATAATTTTTAATTAACCATTGTTTAAGCCAACGTAAATGACAATCACAATGTAATGGATTACCAGTAAGACCAATTGTTTTTAAATATTTATATTTATATAAATCATTTCTATTTAATGTACATATATGATTTGAACTAAGATCAAAATCAGTTAATTTTGATAAAATAAAATTTTCATTAAATAAATTAGGTATTGATTGAAATTGATTTCGTTGTAAATCAATTGATATTAATGAATGAATAGAATTTTTAAGAAAATTTTTCGGTAACTCTTTTAAATTATTTGATGATAATTTAAGACGTTGAAGATTAAGAAATAAATCAAATGGATTATTAAATAAATTAATATATGTTAAATTACAATTTTGTAATGATAATTCAATTAAATTTCTATCTAAACCAGAAAAACTTAATTTTGTTAAATTTAAATATAAATTTCTATCTAAATTTAATATTTCTAATGAATTTAAATTTTGAAATGGTTGTTGATTAATATGAAATTGTAAACGATTACGTGCTAAATTTAAATAAATTAAATTATTTAAACCATAAAATGATTTATTTGTTAAATAATTTAAATCATTTCCTTGTAATGATAAATAAATAAGTTTATTATTAAATTGAAATAAATTTTCAGGTAAAAATGTTAAACGATTAAAATCTAAATTTAATTCTTTTAAATTTTTTAATATTGTTAAAAATGTTAATTGTAATGAATTAATTTCATTATTTTGTAAATAAAGTTTTTCAAGAAAAATAAATTTTTCAAAAAAATTCTTTTCTATTATTTGTATACCATTTGATGATAAATCAAGATATTTTAAATTTTTAATTAAAAAATTATCTTTTAATATATTTAAATTATTTTGACTTAATGTTAATATTTCTAAATTATTTAAATATTTTTTTAAAATAAACCATATATTATCTGTTAATTGATTTTGATCAAGATGTAATGAACGTAAATTATTTAATGAATTAAATGCATTTATTTCAATTAATTTTATATTTGATTTTATTATTGATAATTCTTCTAATTTACGATATTTAATAAATGTATTATTTTTTATTATTGTTAAATTAAGATTTATTATTTTTAATATACGTAAATTTATTAAATTATTTTTTATTGCATCAGGTATATCATGAAGAATATTTATATCAAATTCAATAATTAATTCTTCAAGATAATTAGCTAATTCAATAAATGCATAAATATCTATTGAACGTATTTTATTTCCAGATAAATTTAAACGTTTTACACGTAAACCTTGAAATGAATTTTTATGTATTTCAATTATTTGATTATCATTTAAAACAAGTTCATCATAAAATGTATTTGTTGTACGTGAAAAATTTGGAATATCATTTAATTGTTTACGACCACAATGTATATAACTATTTAATTAATACAAAAAATTAAATAAGATTTTTAGTTCGAATAATTATATTCTTACTTTGTATTATCTTGTCGAATACCGGCTTGACAAATCGTTTGAAAATCTATTTGACAATAATAAATGGGAAGAATAAGAATCATTAAGATCAATTGAATATACATTTTCTTGTTTTTCTTTTAAATCTAAAAGAATTTTAAACAGCTGCTCGATGATCAATGATTTATTAATAGAAATAAAAAAAAAGTCAAAAGTACCATCTGGCTTAATGTTCAATAGAATGGTAATATCAAATGTGTTGAAAAAAAAAAAGAAACTTTTTTTTTTTATCTCACCTTTATTACTGATTAGATTTTCTATATACTAGTAGCAACATTCTTTTTCTTTTTCGAGAGAAGTGTTGAAGTATGTCGAAAGAGAGAAAATACAGCAGCTTGTTGAGTGATATTTGATTTCAAAGTGAACACTTTTTTTCTTTTCTTTTCTCTCACTCTCTCTCTCTCTAGTACGTTCAATGAAAGAGAAAGAAGAGGAGAAAAAAAATGCAATTGGCTTCTCTCTCTTTCTATCTGCAGCAAAAGAGAGAGAGAATAAGATCTATGTGTACAAACAGCATACGTCGTCGCCTTTTTTTTTTTACATCATCATCATCATCATCATTCCGAAATAGGAAAGATAGGTGACACCCGGGTTGTCTACACTCATCGATCATTATAAATGGTATCCCGCCACTAACCAAACTCTGATCTTTTCGAAGCTAATGTATACATCTCTTACACAATCGAATCATATTCTTTCTAAAGGTCATTAGCAGGTGTACCATATGATCGGCATTTGATACGTAAAAAGAAATAAATGTAGTTAGAAAAAGCTCACATATCCGTGTGAAGACTAGAAATAGACTAAATGAAATGATGATAATGTTGAACTCTGTTAAGATGAAAAAGAAAGAATGAAGAAGAAAAAAATATATATAAAACGACACATACAGACATTCCATCTCATTAATTTTGTGCCTTTCTGTCTCATGAGAGAAGGGTCTCTGTAATTTTCTTGTAATCGTATGTTGTATGGTCATTCTTCTTGAGTTAACCACCAAGAACAATAGGACAAAGAATGAGCAGAATATATGATGAATTTCAAGTTGCAATACACTTACGTCAACTGTCACTTCAATTAAAGATGCTGTGTTCAACCATTCTTTCTCTCTCTCTCTCTCGTTTTTTTTGGCTTTCGAGACATATTGCTTGAAGAAAAAAAGATTAGTTTCTCACAGTAGGACATATGTAGCTTCAATATAGTAGGAAGTTTATATGTCATCCGGATGTATATAAAGATATACATGTATGTATGTATGTTTAAATGAGAACAATAGAGGAACAAATTGTTCTTAACAATCGAAAAATGTACATCAACAAGAGAGAATATCACAACAGTGATAATGATAAGTTGAATACAATCATTTCCGTATCTATAATAGTTGACATCTCCATCTCGTCATGTCTTGTCGACTTGAATATGATGTGATACATTGAGATTGATGATTGAATGAGTTGATAAAGCAAACTTATGCCTTAAAGCAAATTTTCTTACCAGAAATGAATATGATGAGTTATACAGTTGTCATGAGAATTATTCATGAAGAAAAGAATTTTTTGTTTTTTTCTTATGTATATTTATGTGTTGGTCATGTCATCAATTGATAATTGATTGTTTTTTTTTTTTTTTCGTGTCGTGAAAATTTGATTTTCTCACACTATCCATAATAGTTAAGGTGTGAATAAGTTTCATTTTTTTTTTCTTCCCGTAAAAATGTGAGCAAGCTGTTGCTATTCACGAATGACAAATTAATTCTCTAGGTGACATGAAAAAAAAGTCAATTCTTACAACTATGAGATTTAAATTAAACTATTGAATAAATAATAATATGTTTTAACGAACTAATCGATAATAATTCTTGATAAATAGTTAAAAATCTCATAAAAGAATTTTGCCTTCAGCTAATCTTCTTTTGATGATTATCACCTAAGATATGAAGGTAAGCCGTGTGAATAAAAGTATGTTTCATCTACCACTCGTGCATTACCATCGTCTGCAATTAGACAAGAGAAAAAATATAAGGGCAGTTCACCTTATCTATCTTTATATATATATATATATGTGTGTGTACAAGACAACGAAGCGAAGGAGCCCAATGATCATAAGTCGGTCTTTTGATTATGATAATATTGTAAGCAGGCGCGCATGCTCTTATACTACAAACAATATCACAATCATCATACTCATCATCATCACGAACAAAGTCTACATATATGTTCATTAGTGAAAACCAGAAGCCTTTTATTTTTTTTTTGCTTAGTTAGTGTACAACCGAAAAGTTCAATTGATCGTTTTTCTTTCTTTTTTTCATCCATATCGAGTATCTCTCCATTCCAATTTCCTGACATGTCGTCTCGAGTTGACTGCTTTATATATCTCATTATTAATGTTCATCGTTCATCAGGCTGACAAATGACTAATAAAACAAAAAAAAAAATTCCACTAGATGACCATTTTCTTTTTTTTTCCAACATTAAAGAAAATGGAGTGAAAAATGAAGACAAAAACCGCAAAGAAACATGTCATGTTTTCACACAATATCTTTATGAATGTGTCCTTTTAATATTGATAGCTGATCAAAAAGAAATACAATGTTAGGATGGAACGATTTTATTTTTACATCATCATGTTATAATTTATTGATTTCTTTTTTTTTGTCGACATGCTGAGATGATCAAACCGTTAAAGAAAACATTAACCATATAATTTACAAGTTAAAAGAAATCGAATTGAATTTATTTTAGCAGATTTTTTTTTCATTTATAACTTCTCTTGTTGTTGTGCTAATTAACCCGAAACAAGAAAAAAACAAAAACGATGAAAAAGAAGAAGAAAGATATCTTTTTATTATATTAAGAGAATCATAGCATATATCTTATATGTCTTCTAAATTTATTGTTTTGAAATAAAATATTTTTATTTTGTTTTTAAAATGGATATTTAAACTAATGAAAGATTCTTTTCGATTGCATCACACTGTGGATAAAATGTTTCATGCTGTTATATTTAAGAATACTCGAAATATGTACTTATTACATATGTCAATTGACAACATCGAAAGTTCATTCGATTGCTTTAAATAAAAAGAGAATATATCTTTTTTTTTTTTTTTTGTTTTTCAAATAATCTTCTAACAAAACAGAATTAAAATTTTAGATTTTTTAAAATAAAATATATAAAAATAAATGAATCATATAAGTTTGGCGCGAATTTTCTTAATGTATTTATTCATGAAATAATAACAAGCGAAAAATTTTGAGATAATGATGTTACAATAATGATAACGAATGATTGTTCGATTTTATAAACTTGAAAAACAAAATATTTGTTTAATTATTCATGAATTCAGATATCTAAGTACTATTTAATTCAATCAAAACTGAATAACTATCAATAGAAGTTGTAAAAGGAAACTCTCTAAGAATCAGTTGTTTTGTATGCAAATGATTCTTTTAAATTAATTAATTCTTCAACCATTTGTTATTCATAAATGAATGCTATATTTTATGGCTAATTATTCTTAGAAATATTATCTTCTTAATATACATTTATTATGGCATTAAAATCTAACTTTGATTTCGCAATTGAAAAATCATTCAAATAAATTTTTATTCTGTCACTAAGGACTCTAATTAAACCCATGTGTATAATTAAGATCATTGCTCTATCAAAAATACAAAAAAAACTTGTTTTTTTTTGTCCCCTCAAAATCGAATTGTTCTAGATCAGTTATATAAATAAAATAAATGTTTCTTCTTAATTTACCAATTAATTTAAAAGAACAAGCTGCTATAGAACGACGTCGATCTGAAGAAAAAAAACGTTTATCACGTATTTTTAATGTTAAATATCGAACTATTGGTGTTAGTTAAATTATTTTAAATAATAAATATGAAAAAATAATATTTAAATATTATCTAGATTGATAAAACAAGTCTTGATGAACAAGTCAAAGAACGACAACATATAAAAAATTTCGAAAAACAACGAAATGATGCTTTTGGTAAAGAAGACAAACAAAAAAAAAAGAAATTCTATTAAAATTAATTTTTAGATCGTGATATGATTAAGAATGATTTAAAACAAATACTTCTTGAACAAGAAGAATTTTCTCTAAAACGTCAATATGCACAAGAATTAAATAATTATCGTCAATTATATCAAAAACCTGAACATGCAAAAGAATGGGATTTAAATGATCCAAATAGATGGAAACAATTAATACCTACACGAATCAATGATAATGATTCTCGTTTAGGTCTATCATCAGGTCAAATATTTGCTGGTGAAGATCTTCAAGTATTACAACGAAAAAAAATTCAACAAGAACAATTAAAAAATGATTTTAATTTACAAGTAATATTTTAATTTTTTTTAATAATAATTATATAATAATATTTTATTTTATAAGATTTTAAATAAAACAAAAAAAAATCGAGAAGAACATTTAGCTAATCTTTTATATGATTATAAACAAATAGAATTAAATGAACGAAGTAATAAATTTGAACAAATTGAAAATGAATGTCATCGAGCTATAGAAATAGCAACACGAAATTATAATGAAATACTTGTTAGATTCATTCTATTATTTGATAATACAAAAATAATAAGTAACTTTTTGATATATAGGCATGTGAAGCAAAGATTCGAACACATGAACAAAAAACACGACAGACAGAAGAACAATTAGCTGAGATAGCTAATACTGCTTTTAGTGATATGTTAACAGAAAATTCAAAAAATTTATTTGATGCTCGTTCTCATATTATTGTTGATCGATGGAAAGGAATGAGTCAAGATCAATTAGATGACATTCGTCATCAACAATTGACACAGATTGCTGAACGTCAAGTATATACTCTTCCATATGGCTGTTCCTTTTTTATATTATTTGTTGGTTTAGAAAATTAAAAATGCTGAAAAATGTTTTGATGAAACTTGGAAACAATATTCAAATGCTATAGCTAAACAAGCAATAATTATTGAACAACAAATTGAAGACGACAAACGTCAATATAATCATTGTTTAGCTAATGAGAAT